TCTCAAACCCACTGTGGAGGTGGTGCAGAGGCTTGAGGAGGGGTACCTGACTTTGGAAAAGCCTCTCAATACCAGGGATAAGTTGGCTGCCACACAAAATCTGCATTATTGTCTCATTTTGTCCTGCATGAGAAGCATTAAACTAATTTTCAACAGCTGCTGAACCTGTTAAATTAATATGAAATTCAATGTAATGATAATACCAAAGGGATTGTTCATATCTTTGTTTTCTTTTTGAAAGAGGCGAGTCTCGCTTAAGTAAAAACTTGTGCTTTGGTAACTGCCTATGGAACTGTTAATTCAGCCTATTAAATGCTATTGATTCAATGCCTTTTCCTCTGACAAAGAAAGAAACCATCACATGTGGAAACACACATGTGTGCATGTTCCTGAGTGCACACATGCTCTGACCAGGGCCAGAAGGTCAGCTCAGAAGGTTCAAATCCAAAAGCTTGTAAATCAGTGCAGTGAGATAAAAAAATTAACAAAACACAATTTCCCAAGTGGTGGAAAGTGTTTCTGCCTTCAACAGAGTGATAAATGTTTTGTCTGCAGTCGTTTGTGAGGGGCATGCAGCACCAAGTGATACAGCCAAAGGGAAGCAGACACTGGCACAGCTGGGCTGATAGAGGCACAGGAATAACTCGCAGGACCTGGTTTGAGGTCTCTGCTCTATCTGTGTTTCACAAATCAGAGCTGGAATATTTTTAATACTAACTACTGCAGGAAATCCTCCCTTCCAGACTGGTTTCTTTTGTGCAAGTGTCATGCAATCCCATCCGGCTGAGCTGTACATAATGAATGCAAGGCAGATTTTGGCTCTGTCTCACAATCTTCTTTTAAACCTCTTTTTTTTATAAATCGTAGTGCATACAGTGTTTACCTGCAGATTACAGGAACAATCCAGATTGGGGATCCAGTTTAGTTTGAAAATATTTATATGCTATGCTGATAATCAGTCCTAAAAACACAGGCTGAGCAGTCTTGTCTTTTCTTCCCCTGGAAACCACAGCTCTTTTCCATTCTTTGCCCTGAGGGTCTTGGTTAACAAAATATGATTTGTGAACATTTCCAGTCCAATTCAGAAAGAAGCAACCTGTTCCTGCAAGCTGCCTGGTTTATTTGGTATTACAAAGGATATAATCCTAACCTCAAAAGGAAACATCTCTATTATCATGCTTAGTCATCCATGCACGGTGCTGGTTAATTATTTATAGAAATTCATATCAAATAAGACTATAATACCAAGACAGAGTCCTTCAGCTGGTAGTAACCTGCCAAAAGATTTTTGTTGCTTGCATCATCCTTAAATGAATATAGCCAGCTTCATCTAAAGTATTTGGGAGACTACTCTTCAAGAAGAGGCCCTATGGACAGGTTGCAGGTAGAGGTACCACTAAACACATTCCAGGGTGTAGCATCCGCTTTTGTTTTGATATTTCCACACTTAGTTGTTTCAACAGAGGAAACTTTGGAGTCTTCGATATATTTGCAACTGGAACCAAGGCACAATTTCTAATTACAGTTTTGGTGCTTCTGTTATGTAAGGCAAAATTAGTTATATGGGGTTTCATTTTTTAATTCAGAAGGAATAGACAGGAAATATTTCTTGCAAGGGAAAAATGCCTGTGCTTGGCCAGCACCCCAGCTAGAACAGCATGTTATATTCCACTAGGAATGACTAGAAAACTCTTCCTGCCACTGCTGCTCTTCTTTTTACCTCCTTGGCTTGCTGATGCTTACCCAAATGCCAGCTGACATGAGAGGGATCACTTCTGATTTGGATGCTAAAATATGCTTTGATGTCCTTACACATTTTGTGTAGGCTCCAAGTCCTTTATGCCTCACAGCAAAATCACAGCCATGCACTATGCAGTATGGAAATATATGTCATTTTCTTCCTCATGTTTTCCTAACACAATACTTTCTGGGAACGTGACTTTTTTTTTTTTTTTTTTTTTTTTTTTTTTTTTTTTTTTTTTTTTTTTTTTTTTTTTTTTTTTTTTTTTTTTTTTTTTTTTTTTTTTTTTTTTTTTTTTTTTTTTTTCCCTGCTCATTTTTCTTTTCTTTTCTAATTAAGATTATATTTTGGTTTGGTTTGAACATGGAGTATTATTGTGAGGTGGAGTGTTCTCTCTTTATTTTTTTTCCCATCAGCGCAAGAAGGAATTGTTTGGTTTCTTCCATATTCTTTTATCTAAAACATTAAAGACTTGCAAAGCATATTATTTTCCCTTTCCCTCCTTTCATAAAAATTAATGTACACATTGTAACTAAACTGAGTTAAGATCATAATTTTTTACTATAGAAGGCCTATTAGATTGGAATCTTACAATATTATTGGTCTTGGATACACAGTTCCAAGGTTTGAATGAGTACAATCTGTATTGTTCAAGCTCATGCACTTCAAATCTGCCTTTGAATAGATTACAACATACTGAAAATTAAATATTTTTTCACTGTTACTTGAAGTTGAATAAATAAAAAAGTTTCAAGTCCTTTTCCCATTGAGAAGATATTTTTAGCATGTTTTAGCATCCATGCACCAAAACTCCTCTGATTTATGTGGCCATACACAGAGGCATTTCCCACTGAAGTCATTCTGTACATGATCAGGATTCATGAAAGCTTAGGACTTTATCTAATTTCTTAAATAGAGGTTTCACTTTCCAACTTTAGCAGCTTATTTAGAAAAAAAAAATTGGCCCAAGAAGCTTGTGTCTGACTCAGTATAGAGACCCACAAGATCGTTATTTACACCACTCCCTTCTTCATGACAAACTTCTGCTACTGCTGCCAGACTGACAGCTCTGCAAACTGGATCTAACTTTACTGTGTAAGGTCTGTAGCTCTCAGTAGGCATCATCAGAGCTCTCTTTTCCATGTGCTACTCTAGGTGAAAACTGATTGTCATAAACATGCTGTTTTCAAAAGTTTTTTTTAACTTTCTGTTTTTTATTAATGCCTCACCACCTCATAAGTTATTTCTGGTCCCACTATTGCACACTGGAAGTTGTAGTGTTAATACTAAATATATAAGCACTGTAAATTCTTCTTTTCCTTTAATTACTCTTGGACTGACTAAGGCAAGTCATGTGGAAAGAAATTATCACAGAATAGTAGAACAGTTTGGGTTGGAAGCAACCTCAAAGAACATCTAGTTCCAAACTCCTTCCATAGGCAGGGGCACTTCCCACCAGGCCAGGTTGCTCCAGTTCCCAGACAACCTGGCCTTGAACACTTCCAGGAGTAGAGCAGCCACAGCTTCTCTTGGAGGCTCATTCCACAGATAAAAGGTTATTTAATTTGCAGCTGTAATGTAAGCATGTAAGAAAACTGAATCTGGATTGCACATGTATTTACTAATGCATCAGAGGCTGATTGGATTGGTTGGTATACCTTACCCTTACCTGGCTGAAGTTTTCTACAACTACTCTTTGGAATATCTCTTATATCACCAGAGATAAAAAAAAAAACAACTTAGTCACAAGACTTACTAGGCCTAGAAATAAGTATTGGTGCACATCAATATTTTAATGGGAGAAGGTACCTTGTGTCACCTTTATACTTGAAAATATCACATGCAGAAATGACTGGAGTCTATTTTCATTTATCTGGTTTGTAATAAATATTTCAGTCATTTTATACATACAGAATTACACCCACAAATGCCTGCTTAATGACCTGCAGCTAATGAAAATCAAAGCAATGAAGATGTCATCTCTGATCCTTCCAAGCTTACATAACACAAATATTTTTCAATCCTAGATCGCTCCTCTGGAGGAATACGTTAGTTTTTCCAAGTAAGAAGCAGAGATAATCCCTGTTCTCATGGGTGTGCTTTCTTTATCATTGCTTTTCCTGCACTTTGGTATCATACAGTGCCATGGACACTTAGAGTGTCCTCAGGGGGATGGTGTAAAATACTGGGCCATCCAACAAAGAGTGTTCTACTCCCATATCATTTGCACAGGGACAGATGTTAAGACCACATACACCAGGAAGCTTTGGGAGCAGTAATTTCACAGAGCTTAAGAAAGCAAACATTTGGGAATTCTGTGGGCACTGCCTAAAATACTTGTCTGTGAGGTGAGCAGCTCATGATCTTTAATGTATTTATCTCCACAATACCCCTGAGAAATAAGGAGGTGCTCTTATACCTGTGCTCGAAGAACTAAAAGCCTAAGACCTAGTCTAGAAAAGATTTTGAACCGTCAGCAAGGGGATACTTTTTTTTTTTTTTTTGAGCAAGCCTAATGCTTTCTTTATCACCATAAAGTCAAAAAAAAAAGGAATATAGGTACATACAGATTAATGAGGTGACCTGTTCGACATTATCAGGGCTGTTTGAATAGAGAAAGGAAGCAAGTGCAGGCCTGAGTAATGCTGTCACTGCTGGGCCATTTTGGTTCTTCCTTTGGGCTTTCTCATCCCAAAACATAAAAGCTGTCCTGTTCTCAGGTCACCTTTTGCTTTTGAAATTTTTTCTCCTAGTGACCACATCTAACTATCAAAGGACAAATTTCAATTTATGAATGAGTTCAAAGTGTTCCCACAGTGGTTGTATCCATTCCTGTAAGTGCAGGGGTACTACTGCATTTCTTTTTGCAAGGACTATGGTCTTGCTCATTATTTTGTAGAGAGGCCAATTTATAGGAGACATAATAAAAATGCTCAGAAACCAGGAACTGTCAAAAATGAATTAAAAAAAAAAAAAAGGATCTGAAAGGGTCTTTTATATAGACTTGAGAGCTGGAGTAGGAAGTGAAGGCAGTGAGGAGAAACTTATTCAAGAAATATAGCTGAAATCTTAACAGACACAACAAGTCTGTGGTGAAGTCAGCAGTTACATCTGTCCAGCGGAGATATGAAAATTCAGGTATCAAGCTTACTTGAGAGCCCTTTCAGTGGGAGGAATATAGCAATAGAGATAGTGAGGCTGTTTGTCTGAGAAACATAATTGCCATTAAACTGCAAGTACTGTAACAGTCCACAAGGCCAGCAGCATCACTGTTGGAAATAACAAGGTAATTTTTTTCCCTTCACTCAGTGTCAGTATCCAGCAGGACGGAAAAAAGCCTGCTTCCCTCAAGATACTGTGGAGAAAACAGCCATGGATATGACATGACCATGGACAGACAAAAGTATGGAGTTTGCAGAGCATGACTCCTCAAAGGAAGGACACTCAGAGCTGCTCTGTGCTGGGAAACGGTGCTCAGCAGCTTCACTTATCCCCTACTACAAAGGAACTTGAGGTTCCCTAGATTTTTGGAAAGCCCTACCTCACGGAGAATCTGTGAGTTTAAGAAAAGTATCAAGATGAAAGGAAAAACAAGAGGATGGATTAAGCAGCAGCAAGCTGGTGTGTTGGGCAAGGAAGTTTTTTATCCTTATTTTTCAACAACTCTGTTATCCTTGGCAAACATTACTAGTTGCACAGGATGGTTTCATCCTGAGGCTCTTTAGGTTTGTTTCTTCTCTGCTTTATTTGTGTTTGACTCTGCTTTCTACCAAAACTGTACAGGAAAGAGTGTCCATGCTACTGACTACTCTGTAACCTGAGAAAGGGCTATGAATACAAAGTTGTGTGATTTTCTGTGTTTTATGGAGTAAACAATTTGAAAATATGTACTGTACAACTTATATTTATAACATGGGCAATTTTCTAGCACACTAAAGGACACCGTGGTTTCCTGTACCCAGTGGGTGGAAAGCTGATTGAGCGAGACCAGGCTCACATTCTTCTCTTGCTACAGAATTCCTGAGGGATTAAAAACCAGATGCTCCCTCAGATTATCTCTGTGTCCACACCAAGAGTTTAAAAATTAATTTATTTTTGAGATGGCATTTTATGTATTTCAATAAACTCTTTAAAAACTTCTCTTCCTGATTCAATCCCATCCCAAATCTTTAAAATATTTGAGGGATGTTTAAAGGGCACAAATATTAATAGCTAAAGAGAAAATAAAACCAAAAGCAAAACAAAACATCAGGCCAAGAACATAAACACCCTGAGTTTTAGGAGGACTTCTCTTAAAAAACACAGAGAACAAATATGAGAAGCTCAGTGTCCAGTGAATGTTTAGCACAAGCTTCTTGATGTTCCAGTAAATAGCAGCTGCTAACATCCCAGCACATTTAAAGATGTGTTTCCTCATTAGGTTTGTTGCATACATTACACAGGGCTCTGAAGGAATACAGTTACTGCCCACAGGTTCTTATGTTTCTTTGGGAACTGTATTCATTCACTGCCTCTGAAGGATGTAGAAAGGCAGAAGCTGCAGGGAGATAAATCTTCTGGACCTTAAAGGGTTATGTAAAAAAATCTTTCAAGAAAGAAATGTATTGGAGTAAATGTCCTGGCAACATTTCAGCATTTTGAAATATGTCTGTTTCCCTGGCAATTTCAACCTTAGTGTCTAGTTTAAGTTTGATGTGGCATTTTTCTTTCCTGAAGAATTTAGGTGAGAAAACCCAGGGCATCTCAGCTGAGTCTCACTGGAGGTGGTGAGCACTTTGCACAGGAAAAAGACAGAATTGATACCTTTTTCTAAAGCAGGATCATTACCTGTCTTTGCCGTCTACAGGCTCTGTGTTTTCAAATATCACAGAGCAGGGTCCCAGAAATTATAACACTGATACAAGTTGTATGAGTAGTCAAATATAGGTAAGGTTCTTATTTATCCTTGAGGTCAAATTGCTGCAGTAAGGTAGGAGGTATGTATAAATCCATCTTCTCCACAAATGAGCTATAATGGAAAAACCTTGATGCTACCTGTTGCCTGCAGAGAAAGAGACAGTTTGCAGAAATAGGCGTAACAGTTTTTGATAGCATTGTGAAAGAGTGGCTTAGGCAGATGCTTACTGAACCGGGAAGATAAAAGGGTGTTCAATCACTAATCCTTAAATCATCCCACTTGACTCACTGCTATTGCAGTATTTAGTTAAGTAGGAAAATGACTAGGTGTGGGGTCCTCTGCTCAAAAAAAGACTGACTTCCTGGAGCAAGCCCAGAGGAGGCCAAGGAGATATTCCAGGGGGGTGAAGCTCCTCTGCTATTGGAGACAGGCTGAAAGAGCTCAGGGTGTTCAGCCTGGAGAAGAGAAGGCTCCAGGGAGACCTGAGAGCCCCTTCAAGTGCCTAAAACAGGCTTATGAAAAGGGTAGAGAATGACTTTTTACATAAGCAATGGTGATAGGACAAAGGGAATGGTTTTAAACTAAAATGGAAGAGTTTTAGATTAGATTTTAGGAAGAAGTTCTCAGTTGTGAAGGTGGTGAGGCCCTGGCACAGGTTACACAGAGAATCAGTCAATACCCCGTCCCTGGAAGGGTTCAAGGCCGGGTTGGATGGACTTCTGAGCAACCTGGTCTAGTGGAAGTGTCCCTTCCCCTGGAAGAGGGATGAGCTTTAAAGTCATTTCCAATCCAAACTCTTCTATGATTCTATGAAATCAGTATTCCCAGGGTGTAATTTACTTCTCCTTAGAACTAAGCTGCCATGCAGAGATATCTCTCAGTCTTCATTCCCCATGCAAACAGCTATCACTGAGTGATATCCTCATTTAGGTTATTCAGCTGTGAGTCTGAGCATTGGCAGGATACAATTTTTTTTTTCCCCAGAAATTTCTTGTCTACTTCATATTTATTTACCTCCTTCTTTCACTTTATGCTTTCACCATGAACATAAAAATTACTCAGTCTTTTGAGTTTTGCAGTAGTGTTCCACAAAGCCCAGTGACAGAGAAGACACTTGATTTCCCATACCCCAATGTGTTCCCTAAATAAATTCAGACTGACTTTGGTCTAGAATGAACCAGTTAGCTCCCTTGGATGGCAAATGCAGGCATGAAACAGAACATGAGCGACAGAACATAGCCTAGGGATCACATGGATACAAGCCAGTCTATGTCATTTAGGCTAAGAACCAGGATGCTGAAAGTGATGTGGATAACAAAGGTGGCTCAGGCACAACCTGGCCCAGACTTACCTGACTTTTGGATTGTGGACTTGTCGGTGACGATTGTTCTCTGTATTTTTATGAAGAGAAGGCAGGAGGGAAGAGAAGTAATAAGAGAAGAAAATGTTGAAGAAAATGTCCTGAAGTCAAGTGTTTTATACTCACCTGATGCATCTTATTGTCTTATTATTTTCTTGCATTGTTGCCACAAGCAGGTTTATTTGGATAAAGGAAACCCAAGGTACTATTATCAGGCAAATCCCCCCTGTGTTTACTTTTCAAAATAAAGATTAAATGCATACAACTTTTAAACTTTAATGAGTTCGAGTCTGTTCTAGCCAGGGGTGATTTGTTATCCCAAATCCTTGTGCCATCATATTAATGACTGCTTGCACCAAGGGGCACACAGGGTAATCCCCCATCTCTAGCAATGTCAGCTCTGTGGTGATTGCTGTGTAATTAATCAGAGACTGCTGTTGGAATGAGGACATTGTAATCTGATGCATAATGAAATTTATTAATGGTGTCCTGCATAATTTATGGGATCTAATCATTCTAATGTAGGTATAAGTATAACATATAAACATTTTTCTTTCATTAAGTCTATGAACTAACATGGCAGGAGAAATCAAGGGCTGGGATCTCTAATTTTGCCAGCTGTTGTTGAATTAGCCCATTTTAACAGATATAAAGGAGTAATTGATTTCCTATAAAACCCTAAAAGAAACTGCCACTACCAGGAATGTTTGCAAACATTCTGTTATGTGGTATTTGCATTCCCATTGTGCTTTATCTGACTGAGGTTTGAAATCCCACTGCGACAAGCACTGTATAAACATCAGAAAAGAACAACTCCTAGTAGTTAACAGAGCACAAGGACAAAAACGAGCCAAGGAAAAGAGACATTATTTTTTTCTCTCAATCTCATAAGTGGAACTGAAGGACTGAGAAATTATTAACCAGATGCACAAAAGTATTCATATTGATACCTTTCTCAAATGACTATTTCTATTGAACTCCTCAGCTCTTGGGATGCACATATTTAAGTATGTGACCAAAACAGAAGATATATAGCTAAGACTACAGCAAACAGATGAAAGAGGATTTAAACTGACATTTTTTAATTCCAAAGTATTTATTTTATGAATAAAACAACAACTTTATTTTTAAGTGGTTTTGAAAGGAAGGCTTTTAAAACACAAAAGTTGAGTATAAATAAACACAGCCACAAGCATCTCCTGCCCACTTTGTTAAAGGGAAAAAGCACTCCAAACCAAGATTGTGCGTGCCAAATTCCAGCTTTATTTTAATTTTTATGGTTGTCGCTATGAACACCTGAATATAGTGGTTTATAATGGCTCTTCTGACAGGCTGTTATAACCTCAATGGTACTAATAATACTACTATAATTAGTGACTTTTGTATTGTATTAACAAATGCCAGAGTGTGCTACCAGTCTTCCAGATGACTTATCCAGGTTTTAATTAGTGTCTATCTTTCTTTTCTTTGTGGAGACATACACTTACTAAAATGACTCAATGCTTTGCACCATGTACAGGTCAAAATATCCACCTGTCAAGTGGGTTTTGAGCTGCATGGAAGGAGGAAACGACTTGAGACATTTTATTAATGGAACAGATTGCACATTTCTCCAAATAGAAATGGGGGGAATTGTGTGACAGATGCATCAAAACCTTCCCGTTGTTGAAAACCAACAGATGAGACAGTCTTCTGGTTGGATAGCAAGATGCTGATTAGCTAGACCTGAATGAATCTTCTACCCCTTGGCTCGGAGTGTTCATGAGACACTTCTGTCTTGGATGATTTTTCTGTATCATATTTTACATCTTAGCAATATGGATGTGGTGTGTATGTACATATTTGCACATATATACATTTCATAAATATCAATATAAGCATACATATTAAACTATCATTCTAAAATCACTTCAATTTCCATAAAAAATTGGTTCACAATCTATGTTTAAGTTTCCTTTAACTGATACATTGCCAGTATGTACAGAGTCAGTACACCTGTGTGAAGAATATTACC